CTTTCTTCTTAGAGACATGCAGGTGACTAAGCTACTTTTGTGGATGTTAAAATGTTGATGCAGTTGGGATGGTATTGGCGGGAGGGATAGATGGAGTGATGGGTAATAGATTGATAGATAGAGGGATAGATGTCCTTATCGCCCAGCACTCCTGCACTACTGCTGTGGTTTCCATGAATAATTCAATGGTTTCTATAAAGGTTTGTTTGAAGCACTAAGATAGAAAGTCCTGGTCTGACACAGTAAAAGTGTGTAAGTCACTCTTGGCCAAGTGACAGTCTGATAATGGATGATGTATTGATATGTTTTTATTATTGACTCTTCTATTGACTGTCCAGAGGAGGTTGTTTGGCCTTATCACATATTATACTGTAGTGTTGTATATTGGTGCATTACTGAGGGTGCACTTTTTTAGAGGAACAAAAAATGGGACTGAATTTTTCCCTTTTATAGAGAAGCTCTCAAAAGTATACTTAAATCTGTAACCTATGTTATTTGTATGTGGACTTTGACATATTATGCTTTTATTGCTCTTTTTTCTTAAACACATTTGAAGGTGCACAGTGTAACTTTTCTGGTCTCTGGAGTACACAGGAACCCACCAGGACAGTCAACTCATTTTACATTTCAACCACAGACTGCATGAAACAGTGGACTATGTGAGTGTGACATCACCCACAGTGTTCAGGGTTTGCAGAACAATATTTGGGATTCCAACTGTGAATCATAACTAACTAACTAACTAACTAACTAGCAACCTCAGGGTAGAAATTGCCTGATTTGTCTGTTATTAATGTTCATATCTTGATTTATGGCCAAACAAGTGAAATAAAAACCCAAGGATCATGTAGAGCATGTTAATACAAACATTTTAAACCCAGAATGACGGCCTGACAACAGCAGTTACACAGACAGGAGGCAGCGGATTTTCAATAGAAAGTGTACTGGAACCAGAGTTCACCCCTCATCCTGTCGCCTGTGCACAGCTTCAGAAGTCTGTAAAATGCTATGTTCTTAAACCTATGCACAGCAAGCCTTGCCTGTGATCCAGAAAGCACATGTCTCCACTACTTTATGAAGATGTGAGTCTGGTAGGGCAGGATTGACAGGTGGATTAGCCAATCAGGGACATGCATGGTTTGTTCGTATCAGAAAAAAAATTAAGGAAAAAACAATCTTACCATGTTTTCAGTCCCCTGCAAACAATAACACTAAAGCACTAAACCCTGTTCTGTCAGAAATTTGATTTTGTTTGTAAATAATTGGTGATCAAAGAGTTCCTTCGTTTCACACATGTCACTGAAAAAAACTAATCTAATTGGACGATCATGTTTGTCTGTGAGACAGATCATGGGGACCAGATATTGATCTGTATCAGAAACATGGCTCACCGAAGATACATGTGACTTTTTTAAGTCAAGACTAATTATCAATCATGTCATTTTGTAAGAAATAATAGAGTAGGGGGCGGTGTTTCGCTCTTTATCCAGAACAATTATGAATTCAAACTAAGGAATGACCTAAGGCTTACTTCTGATAAAGGGGAAATAGAATCACTGTTTGTAGAACTTTCTGGTTGTGAGGGAAAAAATGTAATTGTTGGAGTTATTTACCGTCCACCAGATTTTGGCATAAAAAAATGTATTGAAAGTTTATGTAAAACTCTGGAGTCAGTAAATTCTGAAAACAAGCTTTGCTATATTTTAGGAGATTTCAACATAAATATTTTGAAAGATAAAACATCTTCATATTCTGATGAATTTATAAATACTCTTTTTTCAAGTTATTTTTTCCCATTAATTAACAAACCAACAAGAGTTAGTGATAAGACTTCAACTTTGATTGATAATATAATTACAAACAATTTAAATCATGAAAATAAATCTGGGATCATTTACTCAGATTTGTCAGATCACTTTCCCATATTTCAATACTGCTCACTTAAGGTAAAGAGTTTACATTATGTAAACAAAATAATATTCAAGAGGAATATGAGCAAACATAATATAGAAAAGTTTAAACTCAAGATAAGCAATATTACTTGGGATAAACTGTATTTAGAGACAAATGTGGATGATGCATACAAATTTTTCATTCAGCAAATCCTATTAAATTTTTGTGATTCCTTTCCAGTTCAAAAAATTTGAGAAAATCAAAGTCAGAGACTTGATAATCTTTGGTTTACATCAGATTTGTTGAGAAAGTTTAGAAAAAAAACAAACTTTATAAAAAGTATGTATCCAATCCAACTCCTCTTACTTTTCATACTTATAAAAAATTCAGAAACATCTATGTCCATTCATTAAGGTCTGCAAGAAAGAAGTATTACTTTGGCCAAATAAATAAAGCCTCAAATAATATTAAAGGTACTTGGAAGGTTATCAACCAACTACTACAAAAGGATGTTACATCCACAATCAATAGTATACCTTCAGTCTTTGTGGATGGTGCAACTACATATGAAACTCCTGCTGAGATAGCACAGAAATTTTACAATTTTTTTGTTAATTCTGGTTTAGAATTAGTAAAGAATATTTCAACCTATAATGAAGATCCTTTGGAATACATTCAATCCAGCTATCCTGAAATGATGTCCTTTCAGCCTCCCAATATCAATGAAATAAGTAAAATCATTGATGAATTAAAACCATCCTCTGCTGGACATGATGGCATTTCTGCTTTTCTTGTAAAGCAAATTAAACATTACATTTTGAAGCCACTTACTTATATTATCTCACTGTCTTTAAACACAGGTGCTGTACCAGAGGACCTCAAGGTAGCCAAGGTCATTCCCTTATTTAAAGCAGAGGATATCTGTTTTACCTTGCTTTTCAAAAGTATTAGAAAAAGTTGTTTATAAAAGGTTATTTTCTCATATAAATAAGAATTAAATTCTCTATAAGTATCAATATGGCTTCCGTAAATATCACAGTACTTATATGGCTTTACTTCAATTATCTGATCAGGTAAGGTTGGCATTAGAAAACAATCAATTTATTTGTAGTATTTTTTTGGACTTGTCAAAAGCTTTTGATACAGTCAATCACACAATTTTACTTGCAAAGTTATATAAATATGGTTTTCATAAAACAGTTTTTAAGTGGTTACAGAATTATATTTGTAATAGATCTCAGTTTGTTTATATCAATGGTTGCAATTCTGATAAAGCTGATTTACAGTGTGGAGTTCCTCAGGGTCCTTTATTATTTTTATTGTACATACATGATTTATCTTATATATCTCAAGATCTTACCCCAATAATGTTTGCTGATGATACAACTTTATTTATATCCAATTCAAACTTTAACGTTCTAATAAACCAAACTAATGTTGCTTTATCTGCTTATAACAAATGGTTCAAAATTAACAAATTATCTCTTAATATAAAAAAAAACTAATTATATGATTTTTTGTGGTAAAAAATAATTTCTAACTAACCCTAAAATCAAAATTGATTCAATTGAAATAACTCGTGTCTCATCCACCAAATTTTTGGGCGTCATTATTGATGATAATCTATCTTGGAAAGAGCATGTTGACTGGGTGACTAGAAAAATTAACAAATCTCTTGGTATTATAAGAAAAGTTTGCAAGTTTCTGGACTCAAATTCTATACTTACATTATATTATAGTTTAATTTATCCCTATCTGTCATATTGTAATATAGTCTGGGCAAGCACTTTCTCTACTACTCTTAACAAATATTATTGGTGCAAAAACGTTTTGTTCGAATTGCAACTCATTCTATGCCACTAACATCGTCTGCTCATTTATTTACTAAACTTAGCATTCTTAATATTTATGAGATTAATATTTATCAAATTTGTATTTTTATGTATAAAATTCTTTACAATTCAACAACGATCCCCGAACATTTCACATCTTATTTTAAAACTAATGCAGAGATTCATAGATACAAAACTCGTCAAATGCATAATTTTCATGTTCCAAAATTTGTCACATCAAGAGCTCAGTTTTGCCTACGATAAAGAGGCTGTAAATTCTGGAGTCAGTTTTCACATCTGGTTAGTGACGGCAGATCAGAGGCGTTGTTTAAAAAGAGTTTGAGGAAATGTTTGATGTTTCATGTTAATGTTTGATAATCTTTTAATTGTGGATTTTCTTATTGTGTTTTAATCCATGTTTGAATCAAAGGGATTTAATGCATGGTGTTTAATATATAATTTATATATATATATATATATATATATATATATATATATATATATATATATATATATATATATATATATATATATATATATATATATATATATACACACACATTTTTATGCACAAAGATAATGTAAATGTTTTAATGTATTCATAAGGTGGAGGCTCTAATATAAGCCCTATTGGGTTTTTTGCCTCTTCCGGCACTTACTGTTTATCTAGTATGTTTATTTTACTGTCATGTTATATGTGCAAAATAAATAAATAAAATAAAACCTCACAAAATGAGAGATATCAGTCTGGATTTGCCAGACAAAGACAAGCCCATTTATGATTAGTACATCTAAGGCTAGAAAGACCATAGTCAAAGGAGTGGACTCATTCATCTGTCTGTGGCTCTGTGGCTCATGGGGTCACTGCACGGGGCAAATGGAAACAGTTTGTGATGTTTAAAAGAGCAGCATTATAACATTTGGCATCCACTGGAGAATTTTGTGTAAGAGGCCATCTGGATTTGCTTAGTCTGGGAACATTGATCTTGGCCCAAAATCTTGGTACCAATTACACTTTTTCTGGCTGACTTTCTTGTAATAAAATTATGACTTTATTGTCATAAAATTCTATTATGACTTTCTTCCTGTGGCACCTGCACATTGTATTCTATTGATGTGAGACTGATATTTTTGTGTACGTAACAGTCATATTGCACATATTGCACATCACAACTTTTTCCAGTATTGTGCAGTGGTACAGTCTCTGTGTGTCCTCAGGATGCATGCTTGTGCACATGCTGGTGTGTGAACAGTGTGCTGTGTGCTTGTGTGCAGGCCCTGCAGCTGTCTGCCATGAGACTGCAGTACAATCTGCTTCAGCGGACAGAGGAGCAGATCAACAGCCACATAGAGGAGCAGAGGAGGAGCAGAGAGCACCTCACAGAGCACCTGGTACTCCCACCCACAGCACATACTCTATACAATCTGCGCACACAGTCTGCACACAGTCTGCACACACAGCCTGCACACATTCTCCACACACTCTGCACACACTCTACACACAGTCTGCACACAGAGTCTACACACACAGTCTGCACACAGTTTACACCCAGTATACACACAGTCTGCACACAGTCTGCACACAGTTTACACCCAGTATACACACAGTCTGCACACAGTCTGCACACAGTCTGCACACAGTCTATACACAGTCTGCACACAGTTTACACACAGTCTGCACACAGTCTATACACAGTCTGCACACAGTCTGTCAAAGGTTATAAGTGTAGTCAGTCATGTTGGGGCTTCAGTGTGAGATTTAGTTTGAGGTTGGAATTTACAGTACTGCACAGCAGATCTAATGGACTTCAGTGTAATAATATAAATACCTAATATTTGTATTGGCTCTCAAAGCGCGGCATTGTACTCACTATTCATACACTTCACACAGGTTGATAGTAGGGTCCTTCTGAGGCCACAGATGCCCTGGGGCAGACTGATGTAAGTGAGCCTTTCAATCTCTGACCAATCTGACCACCAACAGTCACTTACACTTTATTCAATAACAGCTGGCTCATGAACATTATTGTTATACATAACTCACACACCAGACACAATTCAGTTCAACTAAACACATCTGGACTGTCTTTACTGGTCACACAGAATCAAAACAAATACTAAAGCAGCTAAAGGCTAAATCATCCATGGAAAACTGTATTTAGGACTTTTGCACTGTGCACCCAGAGGTACTCATTTTTTTGTAACTTACTCTTTTTTTTAATAATTACTTTTTTTCAATTACTCCTACTTGAGTAATATTCTAATTGAAGTAACAGTACTCTTACTTGAATAAAAGTTGTGGTTTCCCTTCCCACTGTGAGTCATTTTACAAGTGACAAAAGCTTTATGTGAACAATGTGAAATGATTTGAACATTACATTTTGTGACCTATTTACTGTATGTTTTGCCCTTCAAATTACATAAATTTCAAATCATAAATCAGAAGTATATATATATATATATATATATATATATATATATATATATATATATATATATATGATATATATATATATATATATATATATATATATATATATATATATATATACTACTACTACTACTACTTGAGTAATATTAGTAACATTTCACTTACTTGAGTGAGTTTGGGGTACTCTGCCCAGCTGTGTAATATAATGCACCTTCTTTTTAAATAGATATTGTGATATCTAAGTCTGATTACTGTGCTTACTGTGTTTGTATGTTATATGTTTGCGTGTGTGGCAGGCGTCCATAAAGCAGCAGGCCTCAGAGGAACAGGAGAAGTTTCTGGAGGAAATCTCCAAGTTCAATAGTGACATGAGCCTCCAGACCAGCCCCTGGACTGTGCTCCACAACAGGAACCAGGAACTGGTCCAGGAGCTGCTCAGGGAGGAGGAGGAACTTCAAACAGGTGACACAGGAGTACAGCCTCACCTCAACATTTAAGGACAAACAGCAGGCAATATGTGATGTTAGTTTGTCCACAAACTGTAGTATTTTCACTAAATACATATATATATATATATATATATATATATATATATATATATATATATATATATATATATATATATATATATATATACATATACAAATTGCTAGTCCGATGGGACTCATTACGCATTAAAATTACACAGTCTTTCTTTATGCATATTTTATTATTGATGAAGTGGTGAAGCTAATGATGATGAAGCTAATAATTTACATTATTAAAAAGAACCATGTTACAATGTGTGCAGATTTTGCCAAAATGCCTTTTAAAATGTAAACGCTTTATCATTCAGTTTCATTTCCACAAATATGTGATATTAAAATAGCCATTGGTGGTTTTCAGAGACAGATTTTCCTATTGATTACATTGTACTTTACCATATAATATGTAAAAGGTAAAATCACAAATGTTGAACTTGATCATTTCTATTGACTGAACTGTATGACAACAAAACTCTCAATTTTGACAGTATTCATTTTAGCTGTCCCATCTGTATTGAATGTGATAAGCCAATAGAATGTTGATGTCATCTGAAACACAGCAATATGAAGTAAAAACTAAAATAAGTTAAAAACAGTCAAGGCTCTTAAAGAAGATCAAAATTAATTCCATGATTTATATTGTTACAGTGACGAATGTAGTTTCGTGTCATGTGAATACTGTGTTTGCTGAAGTGTTGAAATGTAGCCTTTATTTAGTTCTAATAGTGTCAGATTTATCCACAGACATTTTATATTCAGTGTCAGAGACTGCGTGGCTGTGACTAGGTTCAGAATAAAACTCTGTCATTACTAAAGAGAATCAGGAGGATTATTAATTTATGAAAATCCTCTCACACAGTTTTAGAACAGAGCCTCAAATGCACCAGTGAACACAGCATCAGGTGTGAAGTATTAAGGATGTGACTCAAAGTAGCTAGACAGGAACATGCTAAAAGTACTGTCATTATCAGAGGTGTATATACTCAAAGGAGTACATGGAAAAGAACTGTATCCAGTTGAGGATATGGTCAGATCATGCTTCATGCGCAAGCTCAGAACCTCCAGAATTCACTCACTGTGTGATGAGACTGACTAAATCAGTAGATCACAGAGTTCTGAGGGACTCTTCCAACACTCGTGAACACACAGAGCTCTCACACCAACAGTGGTGGTCATGGGTTGTGACACTGACTACATCCACTGCACAGAGAAATCTGCTCCTATCTACAGTTGTCATGATAATAATAAAACACTGTACCTGCTCAAATGAGGATCTATTATCCTAATTTTAATATTGAATAGTATCTTATTGTTGATACTTTTGACAACTCTACTCATATCAGGGCAGTTTGTTGTTATCTGAAAAATAAGTTCTTTTGAATCTGTTAAAAAAGAGGGACAGAGACAGCATCTGTCCAACATGACTTGAAGAAGAGTGTGAGACGAGTCCAAAGAGAGTATAAGGGAGGGTTGAGAGAAAACTGCAGCACTGTAGCACAAGGGGACTCTGGAAGGGCATCAGAGCTATTACTGACTATAAAAACAGAATGTGCTTAATTGTTTCAATAGCAGCTGGAGTCTCCACACTGGACTGCACAGGTCCCATGCCCAAGGTAGAATGTCCAGCAGAACAGTGGCCTTTACATGATGAAGAACATGGAGATGTTCCTTCTGAGGGTCCTGAGGCAGATTTCTTACAGTTTGCCTCTCAGGGGAGCATGGGTATGGAGATGCAGTCCTGTACATGTTTCACCAGACTCACTGCTTTCTTGGTGGTAGTGAGGAGGGAGTCAGGTTGATGGTTTTTGTTGGGTTTTTTTGTAGTTTTTTTTTTCCCTCAAGTGCATTTAATGTACATTCTAACCTCTGATCTTGAGATACACACTTGACAAAATGAGAGTGGACCCTGCTTTCATTGCATAGATCATCTACTACCTGATAGAGCAGTTATATTATTGATTTTCCTTTGGGATCAATAAAGTATGTATTTAACTATCTTTCTATTATGTCTTAATCAGAAATGCACCATTCAATGGACATGTCTTAAACACATGTAAAGCCAAGGAGATGATAGTGGACTTTGGACACTTGTGCTAAATGATAGTGTTTTGAGATGATCACTACATCCAAGCATGTGTGTGTCCTTGTGTTCCAGAGATGAAGCAGATGATCCAGGGCAGCAGATACCTGAAGAGTGTGCAGGAGGAGAGGAGGGCTCTGCTGCTGGAGCTGCATGGGTTGGACTCAGTCTGTACAGGTAACGAGAATGCCACCACTAAGCATGTATGTGTGGGTCAATAAGATACTCCCCCCTCTGCACTGGTCACAGAGGCCACTGTGGTACTGCATCCACTGGTCACAGAAATAATTCTCCCATAGAGCACAATGTATTTATGTAAATTCAAACTGCCTGCATGTTGAATATATAAACTCGTGCTAGTTCCTCTGTAGCTGCTGTTGTTTTGATTGGTCAGAACAGTCACATCGTGCACATTTCTGTCGTCACACTACTGATGACAGAATCATGCATTACTTCCTCAATAGTGTTCTGTCGTCAAGAAGTGATGTGAAAAAAACAAAAACAAAACAACAGCATATTTTCTCATGTCTCATACCTTGATGAGCCCAGGCCTCTGAAAACCATCAGATCTTCATATACATATATTGTATAGTGCTGTAGTATAAGCCCACACATTAATATAATGAACAAAAGAAAAGCGGTGCTCTCACTGCAGAAGCTGACAGGGCTTCAGAAGGTATTTCAGTTAAAGCCGCTTTAAGCAAAGACTGTAGAACAGTGACTCATTAGTCAAGTATACAGATCAGAAAGTTGCAGTTAAGATTGTGTTTTGTTCAAATGCTAATGTCCATTGTCTCTAAATGTTTTAAAGTCATTGATGTTCACTGTATTTGAAAGAGATAAAACTAGTTTGCTGTCCCTGGAAATCAGATATACATTTGTTTGATTCAATGTTTTACTGGTCCAATGTTTACTAAGAAAGAAGTTTCGTACCACAATGATACTGAAAAGATACAAATACAAAATACAACTCAAAATAATTTCTTTATTTCCATGTGGTCTACTTCTGAGAAAAAGTCACATTTATTTTAGAACTGATACTTTCTATCTATTGTTGATACTATTATTTTGTGCTTGATTTGTGATACTTGATACTGTGATACATCACTTATACTTAGTCATCAATACAATAGTCCACTACTTTCCACTATTTATTTAATCTATACTGTTGTTGTGTCCTTGGGCAAGGAACTCTGCCTGCCTTGCTGCCAGTGTCCATGTACACTGGTGTATGAGAGTTTGTTTTGTGAGGAACCACAGAAATTGAACTAGAGTCCAGTGTTTTTATGCATGTATCTCATGTATATTCCTTTATCTGAGCTAACACATTAACCAGTGCTAATTATGTGACTTTTCCGGAGGGTCGTGTCACCTGCTTGTCTCCATGGAGATGTTATTCATTTGCTTTGAATGTTGTATAATATGGCATCAAACGTACATCCATGGACACAGCAGGAGTGCTTGGTTTTATATATATATAATATATATATATTATATATATATATATATATATATATATATATATATATATATATATATATATATATACTTTTTGGACACTCAGACACTTTACAGTTTCTGTCACTCCACACTTGGTGGTGGTGAGATACTAATGCAGCCACAGCTGTCCTGGGGCAGACTGATGGAAGTGAGTCCGTCAGTCTACACCATCGGCTTCTCTGACCACCACCATTACTCACACACACACACACACACACACACACACACACACACACACACACACACACACACACACACACATACACATACACACTACTTTCATACTAGGCAGTGTGGGTGAAGTGCTTTGCCTAAGGGCATAATGACAGTATTTTGTGATTGGCACCCCCCGTGGCACCTGATTTTTCCAGTGTCTCCCATCCAAATCCTTACCAAGCTCAGTCCAGCTGAACTTGATGAGATCAGGCTTTGACAGGCCGGTACGGCCGCTTGTAATCAAATACTGTAAATACAAACAAAATCTGATACTATATTGTGGAACATTTAAGACAAAGTAAGACAAGCAGGGCCCACCCACCATAAAAGTTACACAGTGCACCTTTAAAGCCATTTAACCTTTAACCTTAAAAAAGAGGAAAACTTTTTTCTTTTTGGTTGTGTTTATTGCACTGAGAAATGCAGAAAAAAACATGGAAAAATGTTGTTGGATAATATTCTGAAGTGTGGTTTTAACTTTGTATTTCCATGGACCTCCAGAAAGTGACATACTCTAAACAGATGATGATCACCACGCAGCCCTAGACAAGCACAGCAGGAGAAGCTGTAGTTTGTGGTAGCTCTACACTGTGTGAGTGGAGTGCCTGATGCTGTTGTGTTGTTGCAGATGTGGAAAAGGCGCTGACAGAAGCAGAGGAGCAGACTCAGGCTCTAACAGCCCAGAGAGCAGCAGTCAGCCAGAAGCCCCTCACTGACCCCAGCTGTGTCCGGTCAGTACATGGTCCAGGCTCTCTATAGCTCTTTGTGTGGTTAGTTTACAAATGGTTCACACAGGATCAGTGAAAAAATACACACATAATGTTGTCATTTACTGGGGCTTTCAGTACATTTTCATTGTTACAAAATACATGAACTTAATTTTTACATGAAACGCACAATTTCTTATTAATTATGTCAAAAACTTGTCTTATCTCATTCTTGTGAACCCAATATTGTGTCTTGTCTTGTGAAAATGGTACCTTGTCCCACTCCTATAAAGTGTATTTCTAATGAGGAAACATTATAACAAAAACTGCAGAGAATCTGCTGTTTCATAAAAGTGCATAGTGAAACTTTTCTAGAGGATGGTCGGCCACCTGCTTGTCTCTATACAAATGTTATATCTTTGCCTGGAATGTTCTACAAAGTGGCATTAAACTTTTCTCTATGGAGACAAGCAGGTGAGATCTCTAGTTATGAGTCAGATCTGTGGAGCGTTGACCCTGTGCTCAGTTAGAATCCTTAATTTCCAGGGTGTTTTTAGCAACAAAATATGTAATTGACTAGGGGTGTGCAAAAATATTGAAATATCGATATATCACATTGTTTATATGATGATACAGTATCGATATCGAGGACTGCTGTATCAATATATCGCCAAGAGTATTTTTTGGTATATTTTACTGCATTATTTTGTTACAACTCTACAGTTTTGTTGCTTGTTTACTGGAAGGAAACTCATTTATGCAACACATTTGACATTTTCACCGTTTTGAGGATTAAAAAGGTTGGGTTTCATTTGAACTTTGCACAAGAAGTAGTTTCACAAAGACTTTTGGTATCACAGACATGATTTAGCCATTATTTTTTATTGAACTGTATCGAATCAATTTGAAATATATCGTATCGAACCGAAAGCTCACCATATCGAGATATCTATCATATCGTGGCCTATGTATGGAGGTACGTATGGTATCGTCAACTTCTTAATGATACCCAGCCCTATAATTGACTGTTATTACATTTTACAGGACACCCACAGACTTTTTTTATTCTCAAGGAGTTTTATCCTGGTTAAATTAAAGATTGAATGAATCTGTACTTGAACAGTGAAAACACTCTCTGCAAAGAAAAACTGCAGTACATCCATGGAAACAAGCACGTGACAGACCCTTAACCAGGAAAGTGAGTTTAATTAGACTGCCTCTGTGACTCTACGTACTTCTACCCCCATTTCATCTGGAGCATTTAATGTGGGACTAAACACCTAAACTCCACCCACAACCACATTTCAAACAGAGCTGTTAAACCGGGCTGTTAAAGGGGAGAGTGAAGGCAAAGGAGACCTAGTACCTAGTTCAAGTTGCAAGAAAATGAAATAAAACCCCAGTTTTATTGAAAGACCATATACACAGTTTAGTAAAAAGAGTGGATTTAGTGTTTATTTCCACTAAACATCTGCACTTTCTAACATGGTGCAGCTGTAGCAGTAACAGAAATGCAGTGCTCTGACATTCACACTCAAATGTGTTGTTTTCCTAAGCTGGGCTAGCCACAGAGATGCGTAATTAGCTTAGCCTCCTGTGTCGTGTGAATGTTTCAACAGCCTGCAGAGTGCGTACAACTGTCCACCTCCCAATTAGCCTCCAGGATTTAAAACCACACATGAGTGCTCACTGGAGGGACGCTAACAGCTCCCAAAATGATTCACGCAGAGGAGGGGGAGGAGAGAGGCCCCTGTCTGCTTCTCTCTGCTCCTGTCTGCTCCTGCCACATACTGTCCACTCGTGCCTGCTCCTGTCTGCTCCTGTCTGCTCCTGTCTGCTCCTGCCTGCTCCTCCTTGCTCCTGTCTGTCAGATTGTGTGTATGTGGCGCAGCTCCAAACCAAGTGTAAATAACCGGCATTAAGAGCATTTCACTTAATGAGGAGTTGATCCACTGTGTATTTCATTCACACCACAACAGCACAGAGACAGACAGACACACAGAGAGAGAGAGAGAGGAAGGAAGGAGGGAGAGAGGGATAGAGAGACAAATAGGGAGAGGGTCAGAGCGACAAAGAGGCAGAACGAGATCAGTGACTGAGAGAGACGGAGAGACAGAGGTGGAAGAAATGAGATAGAAGGGAGAGATTCAGAGAGAGAAAAAGAAGGAGAGATAGAAAGAGAGATGGATGCAGATAAACAAGTGTGGAAATGGATTAAGTGCAAATGGATGGATAGTGGTTTACCAGCAGACAGCATAAATATAGCTGAACCTGAGAAGACAAGCTGTTTACGACACTGAGTTATATTCACTTGAACTCAGAGAAGTAGTGGCCGTTTCTCGAGGTTTGACTACTTTTCTGGAGCTTTCTACCATGTTTTAACGTAGTTCTCTCATCAAAAACATGTCTGAAGAGGTTTTAGATGTCATCCATGCATGTTTGAGTGATTTAGTGATCTCTTCAGGGCCCTATTCAAACCCAAATTAATGATACTGTTTGATATTACTTAAAAATGATAATAGGCTTGTGAACAATGGTAATAGGCTCGAAAAAAGGTGTCGTACCCCATTCAGTACTGTTAAACACTGTGGGACGAGGACCATGTGGAGGAAACTGTCACTGTTCAAAAGAGAGTTAGAACATTTGGTGGGACAAACAGTTCTCTCTGAAACATTTGGGCATGGCCTTTTAGATTCATTGACTCATTCTCCTGGATATGAATCATTTCTCTTTATTCAGATCAATGTTTGTCTTTTATGTGTGTGTTTGTTGTTGTTTTTTTTTGTTCAACAGTATTTATTTGCTGTGTTTTCAGGACTCTAGTAGCACTTTTTTTATGGTTTGGGTGGTCCTGCCACTTATATATTAACATTTTCACACTGACAGCCACGAGAGGCTCTAGTATTGTGTGTCAGTATCAGTACTACTATTACTCCTGTACCACTGTCTCTTCACTCTACTGCGCATGTCTCCTGCAAAAAGAGCCTCTGTCCTGTCTGCATCATGTCAGTCGATTGCACCATTACTTCTGTACCACTGAAATTGTAACATTTAAATAAAGACCACTGAGAAGACCGAACACAAATGCCCCCAAAAAGAAAATCATATTTTGCAGATCACAAGCTGCAAGTCGTCAAATCTGCAACTGAAAAATCGGTAATCGAGCAGCAGAAAGAAAGTTTGGAGTGAGCAAGAAACTTGTGACAGTAACTGTACCATGCAACTTCTCTAGAGGTCACTGGATGGATGGACAAATCCTACACTTCAGTGACACCGAAACCATCCTGTCGGGATTCAGAAAGACCTGAATAATTCTAACTGGAACTGATGCTGAGTCTGACCACAGTTGCCGAGTTGCTCAGAAGTGACACCGAAGATGAAGAATAGAATGGATTTAGTGATTTGGAGTGAGATGGAGAGTTTGGTAAACTTGCTCTGTTGTTTAATTATACAGTCCCTGACAAAAGTCTTGTCGCTTATCCATTTTGTAGAAACAAAAGCTTTTAACCTGACTTTAAATGAATCGATTGGTTTTAGAAATGTCTCATATGAAAGCTAAAACCCTCCCAAATTATGCTCAATATACTTAAATAAATTTGCTTCACTGAAGAAAAATTTATCATTTAATGAACACAGAAAGGTCAGATTTTGGCAAGACAAATGTTTTGTCGCCTACAGAAAATTGAACAAATAATTTACTTCAAATACAAAAATATGTTGCATAACTTCAGTGAATGAAGTAGTGGTGCTGTGAGATCCATATTTAATATCTTGTATGACTTCCATGAGCTTGAAGGACGCATCCATGCAGTTTGACAATGATTCATACAATTTGTTGATGAAGTCATCAGGAATAGCAAAGAAAGCGTCTTACATGCCTCCCAGAGTTCATCAAGATTCTTTGGTTTTGCCTTCCATGCTTCCTCTTTCATTCTACCCCAGACATGCTCAATGATGTTCATGTCTGGTGACTGGGCTGGCCAGTCCTGGGGCACCTTGATCTTCTTCACCTTGAGAAACTTTGATGTTGAGATAGAAGTATGCGATGGAGCACCATCCTGCTGCAAAATTTGACCCCTTTTATGGTTGGGAATGTAAGAGGAAGCTAATACTTCTTGATATTTTAGGTTATTGATATTGTCTTCCACCCTGCAATTGTCTCGCACACCCCCATACTGGATGTAACCCCAGACCATGATTTTTCCGCCACCAAACTTAACTGTTTTCTGGGTGAATCTTGGATCCATGCGGGTTCCAGTAGGTCTCCTGCAATATTTGCGGCGGCTGTGATGTAATTCAACCGAGGATTCATCTGAGAAATCCACCTTCTGCCACTTTTCCAGTGTCCATCCTTTTAGCAGGCTGTGGGCCTTGGCAATGCCACACAGTTTTTTAATTGCCTTTTGTTTAGTGCTGGTTTCTGTGCACTGATTTGACCATGGAGGCCATTTCCAGACAGAATTCTACAAACTGTTGTGGTTGACACAGGGACTTGAGGTGACCAGGCCTGGTGGAGTCTGCTGCAGTGGAAAAGGGGCTGGCCTTGGATTTTCGAATCAACAAACGGTCCTCCCGAGCAGTTGTCTTGTGGGGTCTGCTGGACCTGGGCTTGTCAAAAACATCTCCAGTCATTTCAGATTTTTATCTTATTCTTTGTACTTGACGCTGAGACACATTGAAGGTGTCACCACCTCAGCAGTGGATCTGGTCTTCAGCCTCTTGATAATTAAGGCTTTGGTCTCAGGGTGGATCTTAGGCATGTTGTCAGAGGTCAAGTTGCAGTTGATGTGAAGGTCTGATGTGCTGGGGTTCTTTTTATACACACCCACTAATTGATTGATCAGTAACTGATCACAGGTGAGGCTGTAATCTAGGATTGGGTGCATCATATGACAAGGCGACAAGACTTTTGTCTTGCCAAAATCTGACCTTTCTGTGTTCATTAAATGATCAATCTTTCTTCAGTGAAGCAAATTTATTTTAGTATATTGAGCATAATTTGGGAGGGTTTTAGCTTTCATATG